AAAGTTATAGACACATTCTGCAAATTAATACCTGATTACGCAAACTGCAAGAGGCAAGGAGGGGGGGGGGGAAACTTTGCCAACGGAATAATAATTTACACCAAAAGTTGGCGTGTTACTTTAAAACGAATTGATTTAATCAGCGGAACGACGATTTATTATTAAAGCGACGAGTGTGTTTTGCATTTCGCAATATACGTATACTTATTCATATACAAAAGTAAAACATGAATTATGCAAATTTGAGAAAGTAGGAAAATCTTGTAAGCATATTTGAGTTCGAAACCGTGAAAAACCACTACTCGCGAGCAAATTATCGCCGGCACTTGGTTGTAAGACAATAGTTGTATTTATATTTCACAAAATATATACGTAAATTTTTTTTTGTAATTTCATACGTTGAATCGAGTGATATATGGGCAGTGAAAAATATAAAATGTAAAATCTCGAACTCTGCCACTGCCTCATATTCATGTATTGGAGGAACCATGACGTGGTGCAATGAAATGCATCGCTCGAGGGAGTTGAAACGCTCGAATCGGCCATTCATTGTAGCCCCGTTTTTTTTTCAGATTCTCACGCTCGACTATACCAAACTCGTGTGTTTGGCAACGAGACCGTGCGAATCGTGTACTGCCTGAATAACGAAAGTCTGCTCCGAAGCGACGCCCGATCCGTTGGATTTTACAACCAAATGAACATTGTTACTAGCTGGTGTTTTTCAATAAAGTGGAAACATTTTGTAATATAGACCTGTACCGCACGCATACACGCTTTAATGAAGCAGGGAAAAAAAGTAATTCAAAAGATAAAAAAAAGGCTGGACAAGTAAGAAAGACGAGGTTCTTTTGAAACAAAGCACCGCAATCATGAGATCGGACGCGTGCGGCCACGAGATGAGGCGCTACACTTTCGACAAATGCGCGCCTTCGTCGCATGTGCACGGCTCACGACTTCCCAACGCGCGTGGGCATATATATATATAAACACCCCTCAGCGAGGAATTTGTAAAAAGTCGCCGAGGCCACACTCGTTAAACGCGAGCCGAGCGCGAAAGAGTTGAAGAGTTGGTCGTCCTGCGGTTGCATTATATTAAGTACGCGCAAACGAGGCTGGCGCTGGAAAAAGGCGAAAGCGACTTTGGAAACGACGTATTTTGAGCTCTTGCCGCGGCTTTGAAGCAGGAAGGAGGGAGGGAAAGAGGAAAAATGTAATTTAATGCAGCGCGAGGGGGTTGTGTTTTGTTTTTCCTCCTCCGTCGGCGCGCGCTCGCCGAGAGCCCTCGAGTCCCTCCGGCTCCGCTGCTAAGAAAATATGGTGTACACTCTTTGCAGCCCTTTGCAATGGAGTCGGGCACCCGCAATTATTTTCTTCCTTTTGTTGCTGTCTACCCAAAGTCTGAAAGTATACCCAACGAAAATTCACGTTTTTTTTTTCATTCGATGTCACACAGTATCCGGTGCTCGCTCCACGATAACATTCGGGTGAATTGAAATTACGCGCCGCGGTCGAAAATTAAAGCCGATGGAAGCGCGATTGTGATGATATCCATCGGTTTCGTGTATTTGCGCAGTCACGTATCCAACGTAATAATGACACCACGTGCCAGTGCACGCGTAAGTCATTGCACGGTGAAATAGCAGGATGTTTCAGCTGCTCGTTCATTCGCACAGAATGTGTGTAAAATGAGTTTGTATACGAATACGTCTGTTCCTTTCGTTGTTCCCCGTGTATTTGAACTCTTTGTTTATGATGCAGGTTTAACGCTTACCTTGCCAAAATGAACTTTTCCTCGCCCCTTTATAACTGCTTCTTGGTAAACTAAAACCATTATTGTTCTCCTAAAGAAAAAGGTCAATCGCCAACTTCCCGTAGTGCTAGATTTATAAAATACATGGCTTTTTTTTTTTTTTTTGTAACAGCTTGAATAAAATTGTTTTGACTCGAAAAGTGTTGAATCGATTGTAATGCAGACATACATCTTAGCAAACCATAACTCCGGCATGCGCTATTAACCTCGAGAGCCAAGCGCAACAGGCTGAGCGAAGATGATGCGCTGAGAAATGGACTGCAGAAGTGCGCAATATACAAGCGGTGAAGTGATTCTCACGGTTATTAATTTCATTACGTCTTGGCTGCCGAGATTGGGTTCACCCGATACGACGAGTGTGGGGTGGGTGGGGCACTTGCCGTCGCAACACTAATCGCTTTAGCAAAAGAGATAAAGGAAAAGCAGCGAGGTAAGGGAGGGATGAAAAGAGCACAACAGTACTTGCTCTACCTTTTCTCATTTTTGAGTGGCAGTCGTACATACAGACATCCACACACGCGCGCGAGCGAGGAGGAGCTAAAACTACAACGAGATTTTCAAGATTCCTCGACTTGGCGGCCGCTAGCTGCCACTCTGTGGAGGGGGGGGGGGAAGAGAGAGTAAAAGGGGGATCTTGAAGAGGGTTCGCATCATCCATTTTGTCCTTAAAACCGGCCGGATCTCTTTGAAATCGGATAAAGCCGGAGCAGTAGCCCGAGAATGGAACCTGGCTTTTCCTCCCCTCCGCCACTCGAGTCCTTCTTCTCCATTTTCTTCTCTCGTCCCGCCGCTGCTCACTGCACTGTTCGGCTGAAATTTGACCTACTACCTTTTTCCCCTCCGCCCTCATGTTTTCCATACCCCGTCTCGTAAGCTATTCGGAGGTCTATCGAGGCACCGATCAGAAGAACCAATCGGGAAAATAATTTTAAAAAATTGATTGCAAACCCCGCCACGTGTGTACATAACGGGCAAAGTGGCTGGCCGCAAAAAGAGATCCGGAAGTCTCGATCGAAAAAAAGGGGGATTCATATATGTGTGTGGGTGTCAGTGGGGTAGTCAGAGCCAACGCCGATGCATTATGAAGGTGGTCCCGAGCAATCCATCCTAAAGCACTTAACCCGGTTTCGCGGCTCGGTCTTTGCCGCCCTCCCTGCACCTTGTGGCCCGCAATTACGACGGAGTGTGATTAACGTCGAGAGCAGCTCTTCCCACCTACCGCGTATACGTTATTCTTGTTCTTTCTTTCTCCGCCGTTGAAAAAATTCTCACCCACGCCCATCACAAAGAGAGGGGGGTTTTCGACCCCTCGGTAATCGAGATCCGCGAGTTAAGTTCATTGCGACGCGGGAGAAGAAATTATTTGAAAAGTCGGTCTGGCTGGCGTGAAATGTGACTTTCAACTTTCCCCCCGGCGCGAGTTTTTCAACTCCAAGAGTAAAGGTAACTTGCCCCCCCTCCCCCCCATTCCCCAAAAGTCGAAAACTTGACGGAAGATTAAGCTCTCGGCGATCTAACGACTCTCTGCGAAACTCCGCGGAAGCAGCAACTTTGCCGATTACTGCGACCATTTGAAACGCAATCGAATGCGAAACGATAAATACCCGATTCACCGGGTCCGGGAGAGCGGAAAATAGAGGATATAATGGGGGTGGAAAAAAAAAAAAAAAAGATTTTTCGATCGGCAAACTCGCGCCTCCAAACTGTTTGGCTTGATTGCCATTTCTTTGATGGAAACGGACTCGCGCGAGTCGAGCGGCAGAGTTGACGCTTCATTAGGGAGCGTCTCGCGAAAGAGTCAAAGTCGAGCAAACTGGCTCATGCAACGAGAGAGTAAAAAATAAAACAAAGAGAGTCGGAGCCGTTTGGCGGGAAATATGAAAAGCCCAGCCGATGGTGAGTACAAAGCTGTTCGAAGGAGGAGCGGAGAGATCGGAGGCAACAATGGGCTCGCCGGGGCTGGAAAACACACGCTCCGCTCGGCTATGCCGGTAATTAGCATATAAGCCCACGTGCGCAAAGTGGCCGGGAGTCATTAGGGCTCTCGTTTTCGCGGAGTACGTGCTCTCCCGCCGAAAATCTGCCGCTGCACTGCTGAGATGATATTCTTCGCCCCCGTCCCCTTCGTTCCGCAGTACCTACTCGCCGTCAAGGAGGAGAGCGAAGCTCGTTAACGTGCCAAACTACGCTGCGCTACTGTTAACTCCCATTGAATTTCACAGCCCCACTTTCCACCATGGCGCGGTGTAGCCACCCACCATATTCCGAGGCTTATTCGCTACTTTCGGCGTATTATCTCGTTTCAATGCGATGCCCGTACCGCGCGCCGCAGGGATGCAAACACCACCGATTGTCTGACCAAACTCGGGCTCTACTACTTGATAGCTTCATTCCAAAGGTTATACACAGGCAGGGGAGGGTGCTTTTGCGGCTCGAGGGGCTCTCCCCAGGTGGATGGGGAGTCGTGGCAAATCTCCGGGGGGAGAAAGTTAAAGAGCGACCGATAACTAATTTAAATTATTCCCGCGTCTTTTGTCGATGGCCGGAGAAAGGATTGGTCCGCCGCGCTTTTCTGCTTTTCCGAAGATCCTCTCCCGCTCGGCGCGAAGTGGAAACAAAGTGCCCGGGATCACGACGAGACCCGGGGAACGAGTTTTAAACTTTTCCCTCCCCGACTCTTTTCCTCGCCTGTACGCACCTTTAATTTTTCGCGCCCCACCTCTCTCTCTCCTCTTCCGTAACTTTTCCAGCGTCAGCCCGAGACTTGGCACCGTCCCACGGCGTTTTTTCGTTATCGAACCCCCCCCCCCCCCACGTCGACGATCCATATCCGATTAATCCACGATACCGCGCAATTTGTTGTACCTGGATTGCTTGCCCCCAACTTTTTAACAATCATCTTCTGTACCGTAAGTATTTAACGAATCTTTCCGCGGTATAGTTATATATACCATCAAGTTAGTCTCGCTTACGTGTACGGCATGCTGGTTATATATTTATAAATATTTCAATGCAAAACCAAAAGCTTTAGGATCGACTGTAACTAGCTGGTGTATATACTTCCACCTTCGTTTTGCGCAACGTAAGTCCGTAAAGGAAAAAACTGTTTGAACCGTGTCGTTTCAAATGGCGAACGGAGCATCACATTGAGTGTTTAAAGTAAAGCAGGTATTTTTAGCTGAATACTTACGATTGACGACATTGGTCGAGTCGGAGCGTGGGAAGTTCAACATACCTGAAAAGAAAACAATTAGGTATATTAGTTTTTATACGTGCGGTAAGGTGTTCCAAACTATTGGTTAAAAAATGTGTGGCAAACTGATGATTGAGTTTAGAAAAAATTCTACCAAAAATATGAAATCTAGTAAATCTCGCGTTGGTCCAATTTTCGATGAAAATTGAAACAAGTATGGAGCCAGTCACTCTAGCTATTTCTTCAGAAAATCCCTAAAGGGATCGCGGGTGTACGGAGCCGACTCGGCGTACATCGCGAAGAATGGAGGGAAAATCTGGCGTGGAAATTGAAAAGTTGGAAATATCCTAAACTTTGTACAAGGGAGTCTCAAGTGCCGCGCTATTTTATCCCTCTTAGAGGGCAAAGTTTTTCATGAAAAATTCACCCGGAGTTTTGAATTAATTGCCATAGCCTCGGACGATCCAGCTTTTCATTTCGCCTTTCGGAAAGCCTCTCCTCGAATCAGTTTCCCCTTTACAGTGGGAAAAAAAAAAAAAAAAAAAAAATAGGTTGGTAATTGACCGCAACAGGAGGGGTCTTAAAGTTTGTCCACGAGCGTTGCGCTTCCGTTGTACACACGGTCGCCCCCCCTCGTAGCTGCCAAGATAAAAATCGGTATAATCCGATGCAACGAGCCGTCCGAGGCTCCTATTATACACAACAGAAGACAACGAGCGTTTTCATGCCTGTTAAGTGCTCAGTGGCCGCGAAATCTCGCGTGCGGTCATGTAGCCGTGACGGCTCGAAGAAACGGCCTCTCAACGCCCCCTCGCCTATTGCACAACTCTGTCCTGGAACAACTTATATGCTCTCTTTCACCGAATAAATGAAAAATAATATTTTTGTTATTACCTTCCAGACTTGAATTTGTGTAGTAAGTAAAGGCGCATATTTTACCACAGTGTGAGTGCGCGCATCAGTGGGCACCGATGGGGAGGAAAAAAAGAGAGTCGGTGCAGTGAAGGTGGGCTCGCATATCTCCGCGGAGCGATAAATTAACTGCGCGCTATAGCTTGCTGCACCCGATGTACTTTTAACGAATCGTTTTGGGCTGACTGATGTATTGTTGTTGCTGTTGTATATACTCGACCCATATATACGTATGTGACAGTGCAGTTATACCAAAGGGAAGAAAGAGAGGGGAAAAAAAGCCAATTTGTCGTTGTTTTGCGGTGCAATCGACCGGGGATAGTGGGCTGTCGGAGTTCTCTTGATTGCACGTCATTTTTGAGCTTGTCGCTATTACAATATATGTATACATCTTGAGAGGGGGAGAGAGAATATATTCTACGTCTTCCTCGTTAAGAGAGTTGATTTTTGTACTTACCATGAAAAAACTAACCAGCTATTCCAGCTTTTTTTTTTTTAAGTTGTCCAATCTTATGAAATAAAGGGTAAATAATTTTTGTATTATAGTGCAACTATATGCGCGTAACCTTTTCAATCAAATGGGGTAGTGTCGAATGGATACACACAAAACACCTTTTTAGCATTACTATTGTGATGATTGTTTGAAAAAGCATATGCACCATCGAAAGGAGGTTGCTACGATTTTTTAAATATTGATGAGTGCCGTCATTTTTTACGTTTTGGAAAAAAAAATAAAATAAAATAAAAATAAACTGCATTTTTTGATCCAAAGAATTTGTAGTAATGTTGTTTTCTATAAATGTTGTAGAATGTCGAATAAAAAAGTATTGACCGAATTGAAAATAACATTAAAAAAAAACCTTAAATCCTAAATCAGATCAACGAAAGGCTAAGCTGGTGCCCAAGCCTTGTTGAATTCTATAAATTCCCAATGGACATACAAGATTCGTGGGTATCAAGCTGGCAATACAGTAACGAAAAAAAAGAAAAAATAAAATTCGAGAGGATCGGAGAGAGACCAAAATCCGACTGCGTGATGCGGTGAACTTTGCAGAGAGAAAAAAAATCTTAAAAACCGTGATAGCCAACAATGCTAAGTAGTATGTATTCATGTGATTCTCTGTTATGCACGGGGTCGCCGACGCTCAGACGATGTAAGCGGATTTATTTTGCGCTCGCCCGCGGAATCAGTGAAATAAAATACAAACGACCTCGGCTCTTTTACAAAAAAAAAAACAAGCATAAGCACATTTTGTACAACTTTTTTTTTCCTCCTCGCATCAAAAGCAACATCAACGATTATTGCTTCCAAGGAATAATACGCTTCCAACGATAATATAGATGTATGAAATAATCAATTTGGTAGACACGTGACAGTTCTACCGTTATTATTGTAGTTATTAATAATTGTAATGAAAAGTACAAAAAACAGCCAACAAAATAACAATTATTTTCCGGTGTTTACACCACCCCAGAAAACAATACAAGACACGGGCGTTCGAGAATTCGAAAATTTGATTGAAAAAAAAAAAAAAAATAGCCCCAGAAAGGCGAACGAAAGGATTGTAACGAGAGGGCTCTCCCACGCACACGACCACGGGTTGATTAACGTCCACCGAGGCGCGACGTCAACCGAGAGAGAAAAGGGGTGGCTGCAACCCGAGCACCTGCGCGGCACCCCCCGAGCCATCGCGACGCACAGGGACGACCGATAATCATTGTTATCGCTCGAGCCGCTCGACCGCGAAAATTGTGTTTGGCCAACCATGAAAATACTGATTTTGTTGTATCAGCGTCGCAGGCACCGCCGACGCTGCTCGGAAATTCTGTGCGTGTATGCCAACCCCGCGTGCTCAACCACATCCACCTCTGTCCGCGTGTCCGTGCGTATGCAACGCGCGCCCGAGTTTATGGAGCCGACCGCAGTGCAGTTGCTTCGTTCAATGCGCTTTATCGGCGGACACAGCCAGCTTTGGAAAAAGCGCGCACGGCCCCCCCAGTTTCGTAAAACGCTCGCTCTGATGTATTATTATGGCGCGGGACTACGCGAGCGCGGACGCGTATAGGAAAGTACACCGGCACGGTAAAAACAAAAAAACCATCCTGCTTTTCCACGGCACGAGGGGGAGGGTGCAGAGACGAGAAATTGTCGTCGGATGTTGGGCACTGGGGAGTGCGAACTACGTGTATATATATATATAAAACCTACATGCACGGTCGGGGAGACGAGGGAGTTGGGCGGCCCCGAGCTCTTTCCGGGGCCCCAAAGTTTTCGAGTGAGTATTTGGCAGCGCAAAGCTTGAACTCGGCGATACTTCGAGGACCGCTTCTTTTTGGCCCCTGGTCCTCTAAACGGGCAGCTATCTCTCTCTCTCTCTCTCTTTTCCGTTTTGTTGTATAGGTGTACCGAGGAGGTTCGAGGAGCGAGTAGTTGGCGGAAGTCTTTACCGGAGCAAGAGAAATATTTTTCTTTCGCCGCTCCTCCCAACTTGTTGTCTCGTTAATTCCACCATTTATCCGCCTCTCCGGTGCTCGCCTTTGAATAACCGTCGAGAAAATCATATAACTTGCCCCTCCCATACACATTAAATCCACTGGCTTGCTTGAACAAAAAGTAAACGTTTGCCCTTCATCAGCGCCTTCTTGTTACAAACAACCTTCTCGCCCGTCCCTCTGTATTCGATTAAAAATATTTTCTCCGTTTGATCCACTTGTACAGTTTACTCGGACGGCAAAAACATAAGCAAGTATTGAAAGGTGTACATGTATACTTTCCCCCCCCCCTCCCTCAGACTTGTGACGAGTAAAATCTGCAGTATCCATAGAGTCGCATCGACAAGTTATGTGAGAAACAACTTAGAGTGGTGTGACTTATGTTTTTCTCTTTCTCGCAGGGTATAGATGAATTGCACGCATGGACATGTACAAACTCTACTCTAGACATGTAAGTACGTAAGTATATACAGGTGAAGGTGGGCGTTGGCGGAAACGTCACGGGAGAGCGAGCAACCGCATCTTGAAATTACCCGTGTATACGTTAACCTACGCACGGCCATACATAAATACCTATACTTGGCGCGCTGTATATTCGCTGATACCGCCGTGTTATGATGTACGCGTGTTTATAAGCAAGTGGACGCTAGTCCAACGCGAGGACGTCTTGTGTGCACACAGTGCGAGCCCGTTTGTCGTAAGTAGGTGTACCTGAGCAATGATTAACACAGCTGGCTGGCCCCTGCGGAGCGCGCACGATAATTAGGACCGACACCGAGCTCGAGAAAAAGACCAAGAGGGACAAAGTAATGGAGCGCAAAGAGATACACGGTTAACGGCGCACGTAATGATTTTCCGGTCGCAGGTGATCGGTCGTTTCGCCGTCCTCCACCCGTACGTGTAAACTATCGCTGATTAAAGTTCGAAGGAAGGAAGGAAGGAAGGAAGGGGGAAAAAAAAAGAAAAGAAGGGGGAATCACTCGTAAAATTGTAATTTAGAGCTTAGCACACTCGATGGAACGATGAGCCATTACTCTTCCCGGGCGCGGAAGCTGCACCGGCGACGATCTCGGAATAACCTACTTTATCCCTCTGTACCGCCGTTGCTGCGGGCCATTTGTTCCGGCGAGAAAAGAGAAGAAAAAATGCCCCCCCCCCCCCACAACGAGTTCTTGTATCATCGTTTAAAACACAATTTCGCCGCGCTGTCCTCGGGAAAAATATATACGAATCCACGTAATAAAACCAAGACAGACTATCGGGGAGAACAAAGAACTCATCGCATCTCCGAGTGTTAACAACTATATGTGTACATACACAGGTAACAATAAGCCCACTGTACACAATAAACGCGTAGACATTAGCGAGGTGTAAATTAAGCCTCCAAGGATCGGTGCATCAGTTCTTGCCGAAAGGGGGAAAAAAAAAAAAACATATGGACGGACGTTTGCTATGGTAATGGTGACGGTGATGGATCGTCCAAGAAGGAGCTGTGAAACAGTTCCAACCTCCGCTGTAAAATCATCACGAAGACTGCGGAATACATTTCTCGCGCGCTCGCTCGCTGCTCAAAGTTTAACGTATAATATAGATACGTACGCCGAAGATGCAGAAACGAGGGGCCGGAAGGGTGGTGG